CAGAGGACCTAGGTTAGATTCCCAGCACCCACATGGTGGCTAACGACTGTCTGTAACTGTAGTTCAAGGGATCTGACCTCCGAGGGCATTGCATGACGCAAGTGCACTTACATGCAGACTTTACAGTCGTACGCATAAAAAAATAAACATAATACCTTGAGTTTGGGCCATTAGATGGTGCTTCCAGGAAAAGAATAAAGTACCTTTTCAGTCTCAGAGAGAAATTAAGTTGTTTGGGCTGACTCTGGTAATGATCATCTGATTACTAAGCCCCTGCCTGATACAGCCGCATATTTTGTGGTTACAGTTTATTACATTTTTGTGTGCATGTGCACATGTGTGGAAGCCCCATACACCCCTGGAATCCTGGGATAGAACTCAGGTCTTCAGACTTGGTGTCAGGCCAATATAACCACTGAGCAATCCATCTTGACAGCCCTGGTGGTTACAATTTTGCATAACTTAAGGTAAAGGCAGTGTGAGTTTGTGAGACTGAGGGGACAGGCAATTCAGTCACACAAGGGGCGGATGGTGGCCACATACCAAGTCTCAGGCAAACAACAAAAACCCAGAATCATTTACACACCAAGCATCCTGGTGAGTTTTGTGCATTCCTACAAAGTAGACGAGAACTACAACTGAGAAGGTGTGAAAACATCGAAGTCCTCAAACCCTGCTGCAGGACAGAGGTAAACTTTTTAGTTGAAAAAGTGTAGTAAGTGGTAACTAAGAATGTGTCATCTGCTGCAGGAGCTTGTGAAAGGAGAACTCTCCTTATCTTGACTGGAGTGTAACCTTCATAGTAGACCAAATGTTAGAATTGTGAAACTTGTTAAGGCAGAAGGGAAAAAAAATGTAATGCCCTTCTGCACAGTTGTTACTCATCTCATGGAAGCAGCTGATTTTGTTAAGCAGTAGAACACTCCAGAACAAAAGACAATTTTAGGCAAAAAAAAAAAAAAAAAAAAAAAAAAAAAAACCCACAAAATGTGCTTGGGGGAGCATGGAATCCTTTAGCTTTCCAGAAAATGACTTATCTTCAGTAGATGAGTTCACAGAGCTGTGGCTTTCATCCAAACGTGTGCTGTGCTTAGGAGGCACGAGTACAATTAATGGTGTGCCTGCATCATTAGCAGTAAGTTTAAGCTCGGTGCCTGGTAAGAGTAAAGGACCTGGAAAGGGGAGGAGGAATAGATATAAAAAGCAAGGAGTGTTGTCCCTATGATTCCCCAGACTCGTCAAAGGAGCGTGCAGAGGATCATGTGTCAAGCCTAGCTCTGTATGGGATGTACTCAGGTTCCCTTTCTACAGTAGGTTATGCTTTTGTGGAAAAGGGGCAGCAACCTCACTGTAACAGCCTCCTTCATCTGGGTGTTTCCACAAGAGAGAGGCACCACCATTGAAGCAGATATGGAATCTGTTACATCTCAGATGGCCATCTGCTGGCATCCAGCAGCATGCATCTGTAGATAGCTACCGGTCAGGAATAGTAAGCTGTAGAGGGAGGGAATGCTGTCCAGACTCTTCTCAAATTAACATGTATCCATTCCCTTCACTAGTCTGGGTATGCCAGCTCCTTGACAGAGACTGATCCAAAAGCCAGATGGCAACTCACATAAGGATTAGGGATTGCTATGAGCATTCAAGCACAAAGATCTTCAAAGAAGCCACAGCGTCCTCACTGCCAACCTCTAGAATGCAAAGTCATCTGAAAAGCAAAAGGTTTTGTGTAGAAAGGTCATCTATATAGTCAAAATTCTGTGCTTCTTAGACATCCAGAAATGTTCACCTGTGGTCCACAAATGGTAAACAAAAAGCACAACTTGAATAACAACATTTCATAACTGCTGGGGAAAATGTTTGGTCAAGCATATTGGAGTGAGAATCTATTTTCCCCAGCTGAGCACACTAAGATTGCTTCTTCATGATGTGCCTCTCTAATCTCAAGTAGAACACCCAGACGATGCTGGATAAGGCAAGTATTTGATATATATATATATATTTGTCCTTTTGAAGCAGGGTCTCCCTGTAGCCCCAGCTGTCCTGGAACTCACTATGTAGACCAGGCTGGCCTTGAACTCACAGAGATCCGCCTGCCTCTGCCTCCCAAGTGCTGGGACTACAGGCGTGCGCCACCACGCCCGGCTTGAGTAAATATTTTTTTTAAGACAATGAAAAATAAAAAGGCTGTTGTTAGCAGAACTAGGCTCTGATCACCTAATTCTTTCCCACATTCTAGATTGGGATAAGCCAATACATTTATTATTGCTGGTTATCGTCCTCAGCATGGTTTCACAGAACTTGAGGACCCAGCAGCTTTGTTAGCACTTGAGAAAAGGAGCTACCTGAAAGAAAATGCCAAGGCAATGGCCGTCTGTCTTAGGAGGATGGATGACAAGTGTGTGGGCAGTGCTAGTGCAATGGTCACTGAATGGAAGCTAGTGTGCCCAGGACTCCCTGTTCCTGTGAACACAATTGCACTCATGCTTCCCCTCATCCAGTGACTTGGAGCAAAGGGAAGAACATCAGCAGACCACATGTTCCTCTGCTTAGAATGCTGCCACCTGACTTGATAGTTAAATACTGTTCCAAAAAAAATCTTAACCTGAAGCGGAGTGTTTTTTAAAATGAATGAGTGATGGTATAAAGTTGGTATTAAAAGACTGAAAGAATAAAGCAAATCATACTCAGTGATTGCAGTGGTTTCTGCATGACTTCCAAATTAGCATATCAATGCAATATTCTGGTGCCAGAGCTGGTGTCCACACCCCTGCCACTAGTCACAACACTGACTTCTACCCTTGCACACTGTAGTATTAAGGGTGTTTAGATCACTTAACAGTTCAGATGAATCTGACTTTATGTATATTTAGGAATGCTTTCTAGTAAAGAAAGCCACTTGCCAACATACTCAAACAACTGCTCTAAGAAATGTCTTTCCAGGAATCAGAGCAGCAAGGATGTGTCTTCATCACTCACTGGCCAACAAGAGCAGCATTCCCTTTCCTTTGGAGCACTACAAAGGATTTTTATCCTATGCAATTCATGCCATCTCCACTGTATTTATGATCTATTTCCTATGGAGCTAGAAAAAAAATGAAGATGCAGATAAGCAACGGCAGAGATAAGTGGTGAATCTGGACACTGTCCCTTGACTTGTCTGAGAGATGACTATTATGTAAGTAAACCTAGCCTTGAGTCTGACTCAGCACAGGAAGGCCAGCATTGAAAATCGGGCTCACTTAACTGGCAGATGTGTGTCTGGATGTGAGTGTATTTGAAGGGCTCTAATTCAAGTGCTCTGATCCCCAGCACCTGAGAAGACTGAATTACAACCATTGTCACCAATGCTGTCATCTGGAGGATATGTACATGTTTGGGATTCATTTCCCATGGTCTGGAACTTGTGATTATGGTATCAAAAAAAATGGACACAAGATAAAGCAGAGCTTCACAACAAATGAAAAAACAGGGATGGGCCAGAAAGTATTTTAAGGTATCTTTAAATATAAATTGAGCCCCAGAGAAAAGTCATTACCCAACACTGGCACATTAAAACATAATTAAGACTTGTAGATCAAACTCTAGTAACAAAAAGGGGAATTTTCAAATTGCATCTGAGAACATATTAAACAGAATTTTAAGCCTTAAAATTAACCTGTATTTCCCCTTGAAGTGAGCTTAAGACTGGCATAATTTTAATACCAAAAGTTTGAATAACAAATACAAAAAGTAGACCTCACTAGTTGAAATCTACCAACCCTCCCCCAAACAATTCATCCCAAAACGACTTATGTAAAGGATGCAGATAACAGAAAGTCAAATAAAACAATGGCTCCCGAATTTAAAGGAAGGATGCCCACTTCTTTCTCTCAAGAGGCAGATGGTCAGCTGAAAAATAAAAACATTGTATCAATAGGACATTCCAGGGGGAGGAAAAAACTGCAGCCACCTCTATTTATACAATATAAAAATGTTAAAAAAAAACAAACAAACAAACAAAAAACCCAAACCCCACAACAACCCACAAAACTACCAGAAGGAGGAAAGTGTTGTCCCACTCTTATGACCTGCTGATGGCTGAGGGGCCTAACAGGGCTGGTGAGAGGACTGCTCGTGGGACAGGACAGGAGGTACCATGAACCAAGTTTGCCCTAAAAATGGTGGCCACCTCAGGTGGGGTACATGTCTCTTCCATCCACAAGCTCTTGGATCAGAAGCTTCAAGAACATGGCCGCTACGCAAGAGGATTCCAGCCCAGACCTTGAGTTTGGGCCCAAGTTCTCTGTTTGAATTTCCTTTTCATTACTATTACTGTTACTATTTTTGGTAGTGAAGTCACTTCAGTAGCCACTGAGGGCTGTGGTTTGTAAACAGACATTGACAAATACAAACAGCAGTGCAATATTGACCCAGACTTTAAAGAACGGGAGGCGATGGTGGAAATGAGGTAACTCTTCCCCAACACGTGTGAACAGACAGCTCCTGCTCTTCTAATGCTCTGTCCATTAGGAGAGAGTAGGGCTTGTCAACAGGATGGTTACATAAAGAAGAAGCTACAGAAGAGAAAAGAGAAAGGTTCAGATTCAAATTTGGTTCTTAAAGCCTTAAACAAAAAAAGCGCTTCTCTACAACCAGCTGTGAAAGAACAGCAGTGTGTCAGTTAAAGGGCTGATGTCACCAAGCACAGATGCAGGGGTTCGGCAGCAGTGTGGGCACCCAGGCCAGAGGACAGGAGGCTATCTCCACTACCGGGTACTGAGATTCATGGACCCATAGGCAGGCAGGGACAGGGCTGGGTGAGGGGGGTGGGAAGTGTGTGATCTACAAGATCTTAGAGAAGCCGGAGCAATCAGGACAGCAGCACTGACATCCACCACACAAGGCAAAGCGGGAGACAACGGGTACCCCACACTTCTTTACCAATATAACCAGCATGTGTGTGTACATAAGCATGTCAAGCAGTGACTGGAAAGAACGCACAAAAGGGCACACAGAACAATGTTTGGGTAAAAATATATTTCCCCCACTTTAAGTCTTGGCACTAGTGATATATGCATAGGTTACCTGTCACCACGCTATGTTAACAGACACCAAATTGCTCAGCAGCCTGCTGAGTCAGCACTTTCATACTTGAAGAAATTCATACTTCACAGAAATACAATTACTTTAGTTCTTAAAAAAAGACAAATGTCTAACATGCAGCTTACATACATGACAATTTTGCATTAACACTCAAAGATTACACAACAATTTTAGAAAACATCAGTTATTTTCAAACAGCAAAATGACAGATCTACAACTACAGTTTAAGGCATATCAGCATATTTTAAAATCAAGAAATAGACAAAGTTCTAATGCTGTTCACAGCTTAAATTTCAATTTATTTAAAAAATTCCCTTCATACCTACATACAAACTAGACTTTACAGGTCATAATTCCTGCTGACAAGTCATCAGTGAGTGTCCTGTCAATGGAACTAGGACTTTTGGAAAGAGATTTGACAATTCCAGACACTTGTGAATGGCCTAGCCAAGGGATTCAAATGGACGTTTCTGGTAGGACCACACAGAGACAATGAGCCACTGGTTGGGGACAGCTCAACACAGACCCTGTGGGACACTGGGTATGTCAAGAAAGCAAGGAAGCCAAGTCTGTTCACTGAGGTGCACAGGACAGAGAGGAAGCAAGTGTTACTGCTGGTGAGTTGCAAAGTAGGGAGAGAGGATAATGAGAAATCCACATCCAACATTACATGGAACAAGTTCCCTGGCTGAGGGATTCCTTTTGGACCAATAAACACAGAGCCTAAGCTGGAAAAACAGTCATTAAATTCTCATGCAGGCCTTTCCATCACATCCTGCAGCACATGAAACTGTTAGGGGCACCTACAGTTTAGAAGAAGCAAAAGGATGCTCAGTGTGTTTTAGCAGAAGATGCAAAGGGAGGCCAGCCAGAGCTACTTGGCAAAAACAAAACAAGGAAGAAGTAACCACTGTGTAGAAAACAGTGACCACCGTGTAGTGACTACCAAAGAAAGGCCAGTAAACTAAGACCCGAAATGTAAAGGATCAGAAAGGCAGCCTGGCATAGTTGACTTTTTTCTTGATTTTGTCCAGTGGAAGGTGGGAGTTTCTTAGCCTGGCTTTATTACACTTTAAAAGTCTGGCCCTTTGCATTACTTCCATGGTGCTGGGAGGAGCCTGTGCTGCCGTTAGTAACTCCTTACTTCTGCTGAGATCAAGAGGAAGCAGAAATTGTGGGGAAAATATAAATGTGGCCACTTTAGATGATTTAGCTTAAAAAAAGAAGAGGCTACTCAGACTGGCTTTTCTATAACCCCTTCCAAAAGAAAAATGTGTCTCTCCTATGTATTTTCTCTAACCTGAAACAGAAAGATCTCAAAGATTTCTTACTACTGTACTTACATGCAAAGGCGAAAGCACATCCAATTAGATTTGAGGGTACCATTTATTCCGTGCAGAGCCAAGGACTACTGTGAAGAAAGGCATAGATACAGAAAGAAAAGAGCAGCAATAACAAACTAAACAAGGCTTAGGAGCCATGGAAGAAAAAAGTTTCAGAAGCTACACATTTTTTAAAAGCTTTTATATGGTTCTCTCGGCTTTTTATTCCCTGACTCTCCATATGATTTATTTTGTTATGAAGAAAACCTAATGCAAAAAACCAGTCAATAATCTTGGCATCAAAAAGTCAGCTGGATGATTTTTATTGCTGAGTTTACTTTAAAAAGTTTCTAGGGATGCAAGAAATAGGATATAAAAGGGTTTTTACTATCACAAGGCACAAAATGCTCACACTAGCAGTGGCCGAGCAAGCATACAACGCAAATTCTCAAGCTTGTGTGTGGTGCCCGGCAAAGGGGCAAACGGGGCCGTGGTTAGTCAGCATGCCATCGAACACCTGCTGCTCACAGCCAGCTAGAAAAAAACAGCAAAGCCAAGTGTGGTGAGCACTCCTCCCTCCTGAAGGGTGGCGGCTGCTCCTCTGCAGCTTCTGTCCCAGCATGGTATATGCCTGGCAGAGCCAACTTCCTTACTTTGCCTAACGAAACATATTGCCTAATGAAAGACCACTGCTCCCTTCTCTGTGAATGGGAGGTAAAGAAAAAGAAAAAAAATTAACTTTTCTGGGCTTACCAGTTTTTTAAAACTGTGTGTCATGGGGGCGATGCAGCATTTTCTATCCTGTTTACATGTAACTGGTGGTGGTCAGAGGCGATGTAGCGGTTAAGAACTGAGCTTGTGAGATGTCGGGACAGAGAAGGAAAGGCTAGGGGTGTGTCTTGCTAGAGGGGGTTACCAGCAGATGCAAGGTTGAGTATCAAAAAGAAAAAGGACAGAGAGGACAGGTCTTTCACACAGAACAGGAGGTGGGCATGTCTGGGGATACCGTTAGTCTTGACCTAGGTGAAGTGACTTACGGGCCTGAGCTAAGTCACAGGGCAGGGACAAGTGAGGAAAATTCCTTCAGGCAACTGGATTTGAAATATCACCAAGAGATCTGGAAGTAAAGTCGACTGTGTACATTCTCCATTTCTACCGTGGGTCATGGATTACACCGTGTTCTCTCCCATTCTACCTTAAATTGAGGATATTCTCTCAATATGATGATAGCACATTTTCTATTTGAAGCATTTGTAGCAATCTTCTCTTCCTGATTCACGAAAGCCTGTATTAGAAGTACCCATGTCCTGGGATCACCCTTAAGGTCTCTCTCAGCACACGCAAGAGCAAATGAAGGTGTGTATGGGGGGTTGGGCATCACTGTATGTGGGAATCCAACAATCTTAGTGGATGATTCTTCTGTTAAGCAATATTTATGACATGATCTCTGAGATCTGGACCTGTGAGAGGGTCAAGGACACACTAGTGGCAGTGAACATAATGATTTCTCACATCAGTCCACACCAGCTTGGCCAGGCTTTGAGGTAGGCATTCAGTTGCGGTCTCCACCCCTAAGACGGTCTGAACAGACCATAGGCTCAGGCCAAATAACCGAGTGAGCAAAATAAAAAAGTCATGTAAGTGAAGAGCCATCTACAGTGCTAGCCCACCATCCTGCCTACTTTCAAATCTATCTTGGTCTGTGGCAGGTGTGGAAAAGAGACAGTGAATTCAGACTGTGCAGTCACAAGATGAATAACAAAGAAAATGTTAATTGTCATGGCTACTCAGGGTTTTAGTTCAGCTGCTGAGGCAGTGAGAAGTTTTCACATCAGATGTACAGGTAGCATTTTAACCCTTTCCACGGTCCAAAGCGACATACAAGTAACACGCATGCTTCCTGCTGCAATTCGGAGCAGACATACAAGGCAAATCATTGACTTTCCAGCGACAAAGTCCAGCTGCATGAGCATTTGCTGTTATCCCCTTGTTCTATCGTTTTCCACCACCCGACAACATTCAGCAAAATGAGTTAGGAGTTACTGGTATTTGGGGAAGGGTAAAACAATGAAATCAAACAAAAGGACACAGATGGCAGAGATACACTATTACTGCAAAAGCAGGTGAATGCGGGAACATCCTTGGCTTGCCAGGCTTTATGTGAAGCTTGCACTGCAAGTTAAAAAACAAAACAAAAAAGTTAGAAATAATAATAAATTAAAAAGAAAGAAAAATTCGGAGCGCCAGCACCAGCATTCAGTGATGGTGACCGCTCATGCAGTGATTATGGGCTGACAGAAATCAAAAGCAAAGATCCGAGTACACTATTCCACACACGAGCAAAAGCAAAAATTTCACATTCAGCTTAAGAATACGGTGAGCTTCCATTTGCATGTAATTTAGAATTCACAAGTGACTTTTTGAAACCAAGGCATGGTCCAGGGGAAGGATTTACTGTTTTGTTTCTCAAATAACACAAAACTATTGTCTGTGAGGAGTGGGTACCACACGAATACTGAATAAAAACTCCATCTTCCACTTCTGAGCAGTGCTAAAGGAGTCAGAGAATAAATACACAATAAATGTCTTTGTACAGATGATGGGAAGAAAAGGTCTAAAGTAGCTTGCAAACTGGAATACAGTGGGTGGAGGACATGCTACTGACCTAGTTGGGCAGGGCTGAAAAAGAATTCAGTTAGAGCTTTAGCAATGCCAGAAGCTTTCCACCACTCTTAGGTCCAAAGCAATGCCAAACCTGGGGTCTGCAGGGCTAGTTTTAGGCAACTCTAAAAACATGCAACTTTATTCCGTAGCAAAAACAAACCAACAAAAATTTGTTTTTTAAAATTTTTTTAATTATTATTTTTTTAATGTATAGGAATATATTGCCTGCATGTATGTGAGTGCACCCATGTCGTGCAATGCTGAGAGGTCAGAAGAGGGCTTCGGATTCCCCTGGAACGGGAGTTAAGGGCAGTTCGTAGCTGCCATGTGGGTGCTGGAAATCAAACTCCGGTCCTCTGCAAGAGCAGTCAGTGCTCTTAACTGCTGAGCCATCTCTCCAGCCCCCAAAACTTGTTTTTGAAAAGGCGAGTAGATGGTTGGGAAGACTGTAGTCACTCCATGCCAGTTTAGAATGATGCTGTTGAAAGCCTTCTTTGAGGACAGATGCATCTCAACCAGCGAATGCCCACTGGCAAATGTGCAAATCATTTTCAGGAGATAGACGCTATCCACTGGACAACTTACCCTTGGGCAAGTGCCACCACTGTGGCCAAGCCACAAATAAGGAAAGTGACTTGGTAGCCAGAGATGGCAGAAGGTGGGGTTCAGCTAATGGCAGTACGAGGGTTAGTGCTACTTTATAATCTTAGGAAATGTTATATACTGTCATGCCACTTACAGGTCAAGAAGTATAAAGCCTTACCTATGTTAAAAAAGGAGCATGTCATTAGAATAGAAAAAAAGAATTTAAGACTATTAGAAAATAAGTTAAGCTTGGTGATAGAAGCATACAGCAGGAAAACAGACAGGCATCCCTGAGGAGTTTTCTACTTTAGCAAAGCTTCTAAGAGGCATGTGGTACCCACTGCACCTGCTCCAGGTACTAACTAGGAGGAAGACTCTTCCCTTTTCTGTTCAGAGTGCTGCTCTGGTTGCCCTGGTAACTGTCTTTCTGTGGTCCTCTCTAGCCAAAACCTTTCACTGCCACCTGACAAAGGGATGATTTTTTTCTTTTAAAAAAACGTTAGCAGTTCCAGCTTCCAACTAGCCTTTGCTTTACTCTACAAGTGCAAGTCTGGAAAAAGAGTAAGAATCTTAGATGTGACACAGAAAACGTGTGCCATTGTAAGTCAGATACTGGCGACTATTGAGAACCAAGCCTAACATCATCAATAAATGAGAATATATAAATAAAGCTAAAATAGGATTCAACACAGACATGTAAACTTGAAAAGCATTATACATTGGTAAAGCCCGGGATGGGAAGGAAACAACCTGGTGTGTTTAAATGGGCAGGGAAGACCCTCCCTACACGAGGGTAAGGCTGTTACTAAATGGATTCTTTTTAATGGAGGCACAATAATGATCAGTTCTAGTAATTTTTATTGCTAAAAGGCACATCCAGTATACGTGATAGATTCTTTTAACATTGCTGGTCTTTTAAAAACATTTTTAGTTTTAAAACTTGTACCTTTACTCACTTTTGTGCTTCAGGGGTATGAAAATCTAGACTTTGGGTTTCCTAAGCTGTGAGTCAGCAGCCTTTTCTTTCACTCACACCTCCAGACAGATGTGTACACACACGTACACCCACGTACGTACACATACACACACACACACACACACACACACACACACACATGTTTTTCCTGGAAAAAGGATTAGCTGAATGGTTTTGACTTATGTGCACTGTACTCTAACTCTCTGTATGGGGATGTCACCATTGATGTCAGAAGCACTTCCAATACACTAAGCAACAGAGCTGTCTTGAGCTGGATTATCTAGGCGGTTGTTTCCTCTTGGAATTAATCCAGTCTGGCCAAAGTTTGGGCCACTGGACTCCTTTGCTGACTTGGGTCTGTACCAAGCCCAGTTAAGATCACACGTCATCAACATTTGACTACTTCTGTTATTGCTTAGAATAGTTGCCTGCTCCTTTGTTCTCTGGACACATTTCCTGCTGTCTTGGAGCTTGCAAAATCAAACAACACAAAGCATGATTTAATACTCCACTAGAGTGGTGCAGAGGCTACAGGCGACACCAGGTAGTTGCGTAGGGTGAACCTGCTGCACATGAACCAGGACTAAGCAGCATCAGCACTATGCTGGCTTGCCCTACGACAGTCTCAATTAGCATTACATTGAAACTCGATCCTATGTGCTACAGTTTTTAAGAGCGAAATTCTTCACTTGCCTGAACCCCATATTTTTGTTGTTTACTTAGCTGCCTGCTTTTCTCCCAGCACCCTGGCATCTAAAGATGAAGAGCGGGAATCCCAAGGCAGGCTCCGGAGTTGCCTGTACAGCTGCCCTAGGAGTTCACTCAGCAGGTTCTAGACAGGAGGGCGGCATCTGGGGGCTTGAGATAGGGCCACCAAAAAGTTGTCGCAAGTGCTTCCCCAGCACTGCACTTGTCTAGCCCACAGCTACTGTCACAACACTGCCCCCTCCAGTCTTTAAGGTGATTCAAAGAAGAGCTTCAAATCTCTGGAGGAGTGCTAGGACGGGCACCACTCCCCCTGGCTTCAGACAGCTGCTACTGGAGCATCACAGAAAATGACTGACTGGGGAGCAGAAGATGACCCTTTGGCACATGAAACCAAGGCTTTGCTGAAAACTGCTCCATGTGGAGTACAGGGGTGGCAGAGGATTGCCAGGGCTGTGCTAACTGGGTGGGCAATTGAGTTGAATTTCACAAATCAGACAATCCTCCAGCTTGCTGAATTTAGAGAATTTAAAGGGAAGCAGTGCCCCCTAGCTACAGTTTGAGAATAAAATTCAGCCACTGCCTCGCCATGCTTTCTAACACAACAGAGAACCCATTTTACCAAGTGACTTTAGGATGCTCTTTTACCAAGAGTCACAAAATGTTTCCAGAGGCACTAAGAGAAAATCCACCTGTTTTCTCTGAGAGTCTTAGAGTTGATACAGAAGATGCTATGGGAGCTGACAGGCTGCTCCAAGCCTGACTGCTTCATCACCGTGGTCAAGTTTATAAATTAATCCTTTGTATCCTTTAAAAGTACTTTTAGACCTTTGCCATCTTCCCTGAACTGTAGAGAAAAACACTTGCTTTGTTTTTCTGGTAGCAGACCAGTTTCCAGTCTGCAAACAGGACAAGTAGACATGCAAGAACAGACTATTAGAGGTCCCCAGTAGACGGGTGACACCTGCTTACTTTTTCTTATCCTTGTCTTTCTTGGTTTGCTGGGCCCCAGACTGCTGGGCCTGGGACTGTAGTAGCTGAGCTGCTGTCTTCTTCTTCTGGAAGTTGTTCACCTCTTCCTCAAGCTCCTTCTTCTTGTCTTCCACTTTCTTCTTCTCCTCCTGGTGTGTCCGCTTCAGGAGGTCGAACTTCTCATGAAGCTGGGGGAAAAGGAAGAAGATGGGCTTGGTGAAGAGAATAAAGCTGTATGGACGTGTGCAAAATCAGAACATGCAGCACATGGCTGCACTGGCTTTAACGGCATGAAGTAGCATTTGGGTGGCTTTCAGGGAAGCAAGGTCTGGGCGCTGAGCGGCATGTTTCTCAGTCCTAGGCACCTCTGTCACTTGAGCTCCTTGGACACCCTTTCTGATAATAAGGTACATACTTCTTTTTGAGACAGGGTCTCCCTGTAACCACGGCTGGCCTGGAACTCATTATGTAGACCAGGCTGACCTTGAACTCAGAGATCTGCCTGCCCCTGCCTCCAGAGTGCTGGGATTAAAGGCACGCACCACCACACTTACTTATTTTTAATTTTGGTCAACACACTTATTTTTAAAAAGCATAAGAAGGGACAGCAAGATGGCTCAGCAGGTAAAGACACCCCACCACCAAGCCTGATGACCTGAGTTCAATACCTGGGACCCACATGCAAGAAAGAGAAAACTGACTCTTGTACATTGTCTTCTTTTTTTTTTTTTTTAATTAGGTAAAGTAATTAATTAGTCTTTCTTGAGACAGGGTCTCCCTACAGCCCTAGCTGTCCTGGAACTCATGTAAACCAGGCTGGCCTTGACTGCACAGAGATCTGCCTGCCTCTGCCTTCCTAGTGCTTGGATTAAAGGCGTGTGCCACCATGCCCAATTTTTAAAATTTATTTTTATTTTATCTCTGTGAGTGTTTGGGTACATGTATATAAATGCACCTGTGTTGTGCAATGCCTGCAGAGGCCAGAAGAGGGTATCAGATCCCTTAGAACTGAAATTCCTGAGAGCTGTTAGCTGCCATATGGGTGCTGGGAACTCAACCCAGGTCCTCCAGAAGAACAGCCAGTGCTTTTAACAACTAAGCCATCTCCTCAGCCCCATGTCATCTAACCCTCCCCCTCAACACAGAAGGTTACATTTTAAATAATAAAATGCATTAAACAATTTTTAGCCCTTGACAAAACAAAAAAAGAAAAAAGGTACTCATGGGTGGGGCACAGCACAGCTCAGTGGTAGGTCTACCTGTGAGCCAGGAGGCCCTGCATTGATCTTCAGAAACAAGCAACAACAGAAGCAATCAGAAACTAAACAGGAAGGGAGGTATGAAATTCCAAAATTTAAGCCATCATCCACTTAAAAGCAGATAAGGCTCAATTTTCCTTTCTCTGCATCTTAACCATCTTAAATGCTTGGCTATGTAAAACACCACTGTTTCATAGTCTTTAAAAGACAAAATGAGATGTAAATACTATTTAGAAGTCTTCATTTTTGAAGAGTATTGAGCCATGGAAATTGCTTTGGTAAAAATCCATGTAAACTTCTAGGAGGTAGTGAGTTTGGTCTGGGTCAAGATCCTGTTGGAGTCGGAGAGTGCCTCAGCAGAAAGTGTGCTGGAACAAAAGAAGTGGATACAAACCCAGAGCATGGATTTCAGTTAGAGCATCACCCACCAGATAAAAGGGCCCTCTGTTGGCTAAACTCCAAATCTCACATATGAAGTCTTATAAATGGAGGGAACACAGAACCACAAAGACTAATCTGTAGAGCCAGAAACCTTAAATATAGTTTTAGCCTTGGTGATTGCAAAACAAATCCCTTAACCTTTATGACCCTCAGTTTATCATCTGTTAAGTGGGGATTAGACTATCTAGCCCAACAGTTTATCATCTGTTAAGTGGGGATTAGACTATCTAGCCCAAATTTCTTGCCACTCTTGTGATAAAATGGAAGGAGAGAGTATTTTGGCCTAGTGTGAAATCCTACCAACTGCAAAGCATGAATAAATGCCTTGTGTTTTGGTCTCTTGGAGGACAGACAGCTCACCTCTTTCTCTGCCTCTTTAAGTTCAGCCTCTTTCTCCTTCACTCTCATAACAAACATCTGCCTCATTTCCTCTTCTTTCTTCTGCAGCTCTCCCAGGAATTCATTTCTTTTTGCTTCGTATGTCTCCTGGAGACTGTTCAAAATACACAAACCAAGATAGGGTCAGAAATAGCACAATAAATTTCAGTTCATGTCATTTCTACCCTCTACTTCAAAAAACCAGAGAAAGCTGCTGCTTGTCACACTAAAGCTCAAATGAGTTTTATTTTTTTTTAATGTTGCAATTGCAAAGACACTTTTGTCAAGAAGCACAGTGCAACCAAGGCCCGTGGCGAACCAGCCAAGTTTCTCTCTCACGCATCACACATCTGGAGAAGCTGGACTTGAGACGGGATTTGGAATTGTACAGGATGGAAGCAGCGCAGTGCCACAGGTGAAATGGCAGGAGCTGGAGTCAGAACAGGGTTGGAATTCTGGTCTCACCAACTGGCTAACCTTGGCAAAGGCACCACCTCTCCAGCCTCCTGCATAGGGATCATGGACACACGAGCACTTACCTTCTGGGGATGTGACTGGGAATGAGATGTGGGGAAAGTGAGCCAAGCATTTGCGACACAATCAGTGCTTCATGACTGCCCCCTTCCTCCACTCATCTCCCTTCAGTGCCCAAGCTGAAAGACAGACTCAACAAAAAGACTACAGAAAAAACAGCTCTTCTAAAAGCAGAGTAGAAAAATCCCACTTTTCAAGACACATTACAACTGTAAGTAGTGTGGGGAGGAGCCTTATTTTTCTTATGAGCCCCATCCATCCTTTTCCTGTCTACAGGACTCAGAGCCCAGTGTTTCATACTAAGTGCCATGACTCAGCTTTATCGCTAAGTTAGACAAACACATTTGTAGAGAAACCACCTTTGGTAAATACAGAAATAAACAACAATTAAAAAAAAAAAAAACAGGGCTGGAGAGATGGCTTAGTGATTAAGAGCAATGACTGCTCTTCTAGAGGACCCAGGTTCGATTCCCAGCACCCATATGGCAGCTAACAACCATCTGTAACTCCAGTTCTGGGGGATCCGATGCCCTCTTCTGACCTCCACCGGCATTGCACAACACAGGTACACTTACAGACATGCAGACAACACACTCATACATATTTTTAAAAATTAAAAAAAAAAAAAACCAATGCTAAAAACAAACAAGTCAATGGTAGATGTTATAAGGTGCTACTACTGCCTCTCTCTCTTGTGCATTTCCCTAGAACAGTAGCTCTAGGGTAAGAGCCTGCAGGTAGGGACTACCCACATACCAAATTCAGCCCAAAGGCATACCACAGACAGGATAGCATGCAGCATTCACACCTGGCTGCTAAGGGAGAAAAAGGAAAGTGCAGTGGGGGAGCACACCTGTAAGTAGACATACACATGCATATTGCACTGTACAGTTTGGTCAGCTTTTGGACTAGCATCACCCAGAGTATATTCTATTTGTGAGTTACTTCACAAAGTTTTTAGGACCAAACGAATCTGAAGAACTCTAGGTTGACAGGGCTGAAGAGGTTCTTTCCCCGAGGGGCTTCTCGGATCATTTAACACAAGCAGTGATTAGCAAACTAGCTAGGGTCATCACCTGGGAGACAGTTCAAAGCGGACTTCTTGACCTTAGCCAGATGTTATAATTCTACAATTAATAGCCTCATTAGTTCATGAGGAATAAGTTTCTCCTGTCTTTATTTTATGAGATGAAAACAAGATGGACAGGTGTTGATGTTGGCTAGCATTAAGAGCAATGTTTAGACTTCAATTTTTTATACATTTTTATTTATTATTTTTATGTGTATGCATGTATTGCCTGAATGTAGGTAAGTGCACCTATGCGTGCAATGCCTGCGGAGGTCAGAAGAGGCTGTTGGAGCCCCTGAAACTGGAGTTACGGACAGTTGTTAGCTGCCATGTAGGTGCTGGGATTCAAACCCAGGTCTTCTGCAAGAACAGTCAGTGTTCATAACCACTGAGCCATCTCTCCAGCCCCTAGACTTCAATTTTAAGAGCTATGCCCACTGAGACACAGAATTATGTTGACAGTAGGCCTTTAAAATAATTCATAAACTTGACCTCCTCTGTTGGCCTATAATAAACTCTGTCACCATTATCTGTGTATCAGACTTGCACAAGGCAGAGAACAGCCTGTGCCTGTTACAAAATTTTATAGAAAACCCAATCTCTATTAGTTTTGTATAATGACCTCTCTCTTCTAACATGTAATGGAACACTTTACAAAGAAACGATACTTATCCTGTGGTACAGAGCTTAGTACCTAGTTTCAGGAGGGGATCTTCAAAGGAGGGTTTCCAAAGTCAAAATAGTAAGGGATAACAATGCACATTCTTCCACTAGGGGGTTCACAGTGTACCTCACTGTGGCAGCACACCTGAACCACGTGGGCATATCTTAGGGCACTTTTCTAAATACAGATGCCTCCTGAAGATGCTGACCCAGAACATCTGCCTAAGGTCAAACAGTCTGCTTTGAAACAGTTTGCTGGCCACTGTGTCTTAAATGATCCAAGAAGCCCTTCAGTAAAGAACTTCTTCACAGGCTGGAAAGATGGCTCAGGGGTTAAGGGCACTGGCTGCTCTGGTAGGGGACCCAGGTTTGAGTCCCAGTATCTACATATTGACTAACAACCACCCATAAGTACAGCTCCAGAGGATCTAACACCTGATTTCTGCAGGCATTGCATGACATAGGTGCACTTACATACATGCAGTCAATACACTCATATACATAAAATAAAAATAAAATATTTAAAATAATAATAAAGAAACTCTTCACCTTTAACAACTTGAAGCTTCTCAGATCCATTTGGTCATGGATGCTTTGTGAAGTAACTCACAGAACATGTTTGGGGTGATGCTATTCCAAAAGCTGAGGACTCCCAGGATGCCTCTGCCATGTCCAGTCCCAAGCACAGCCTAACATATGCTTGTTTCTGGATCTGTTTTCAAACTATGGCTAATGACCCAATCAGGAATCTTAACCAGTGTGTTAAAAGACACAGTCTGGTGCTTGCTTCGGCAGCACACATACTAATATTGAAACGATACAGAGAAGATTAGCATGGGCCCTGCACAAAGATAACACACTAGTTTGTGAAGCGGTCCATATTTTTATGTAGAAACAGACTCCTACAGGCTCCTGGGACCTTGCACATATGAACCTACAGCAATGGTGTCAGCGTACATAAGACCCATGCAAACTCAAACAGCCAAAAACCCGGCAAAGAACTGGGGAAGTGGGCAGCAGGCCCCAATCTTAGCTGAAGAGCTATTGGCAACTGATCATTGCTGGGTGAGGAAGAGCTGATCTTCTTAAAGAGAGGAACTCTAGATAGGCTGACTAGACCTCAGTGGAAGAACTTGCGTTGAGAGGTGTCTAGGGACACTAACAACACAAATGACAGAATGCATGAAATCCAGTCGGGGGGGGGCACCTATGGGAAGGTGCCAGTGAGTAAGGGGATCTAAAGATGATGAAGATATTCTGTATGAAATACACAAACATTTAATTAAAAATTTACAAATAATTAAAGAAATTATATCCATGTAGCGAGCCTGCAGTGTAAGAAATGACCTGCCCATTTTGTAGAGATTTGCTAACATAGTAACAAAATAGGCATTTTCCCAAGGGCATTCAGAATTCAGATATCTTTAAAGTGTTGAAGACCAAACTACTTTCTAGAGACCATAATGGTACTATTTTAGTTCTTCATATTATCAGTGATAGAATTATGTTTTACATTAACTTAATGCTTCCTTATTTGTTAACAGAATTGATATGGACACTGTCTTGGGGGTATAGCTTGTTTTGTTTGGGTTATGCTTTGTTGTACTGTATTTCTGAGACAGAGTTGTATGTAGCCCAGGCTAGCTTTCAACTTACTATGTAGCTGAAGATAGCCTTGAACTCAACCCTCAACCCCTGGCTTCCACCTAACAAATAATCCTGTATTATAGATGGATGCTACCATGCCCAGCTTGTATACTGAGTATTATGATTGTTATTATTGAGTTGTTGTTATTTTATGATATAATTGTTTATAGCACATTTGGAGTAAAATAAAGACTATTAGTTTAAAAAAAATACATAGTCTGAGAGATTAGGATAAAAAATGCCCAAGTGCAATGTACACAGGAAGAGTGGGCTCACTGCCTGAACTGTGAACACTGGAGCATGCTGGAGGGTGTTTTGTACAGGGAAGGTCCATCCAAATGTGGAATGCTTCTGTCCTAGAGAAAGCCTGAGGAGCAGCTTGGCTATGGGCAAGACTGGCCTTGGCCTTGAGTCTGATAAATATTGACATCCAGGGACAAAGGGGGAAAATGGGCTCAAGAAATATTGCTTAGGTTACATTGCTGTACCCTAAGATGTGAATCAGCTTTTGGACTCTAATATAGGAAGTGATACTAGTAACCAAGGAGATACCCTAAAGGCTTACCCTAAGGAATCAAAACTACTTAAAATCACTTACAAATATTTAGAATAACACAGATTATATTTCCTACAAACCTATGCAGAAACCCTCACTAATGTCTAGGGATGGAACTCTACCACAACTCAGAAGAAACCACCTTTACCCACTCACAGACACCCAAAACATCACTGGCAATTTTCAGCTCTTCAAGCTTACTTTTACACTTCAGCCATTAAACCCCTTTTTAAAAGTGAGGTGTCAGCAATTACTTCACAAGGTTCTCAGCTGATCTGAATGATCTGATTTTCTCGTTGGGGGCCATTGGAGGTTTTCTTGCAAATGTCAAGGGTTGCTTTTGCTCTACGCATTTCCCACACAGCTGCTTAGCCAACGCTGGACGCTTCTAAAACTCAATGGGCCTAACAGGCTTGAGAACTTTGTGATCCCTGAGAGATGGGTGATCACTTTCAACTGGTGGTCAGTTAAAGAGGAGGGGTTTTGAGAGGAGGGGTGAGCAGTCTGGGCAATGAGTATGGCAAAACCAGTAATGGTATCTCAGAAGAGAAAGAAGCCCCCAGGGGCATATAACTAGTCCCCATAGGTAGCCTTGGTCCTCCTCTTAAGTTATCCTAAAATGCCAAAGAAATAGGGACTGAGGGAGGAAGGAACCTGGGCTCAGGGAAGAAATAGGTATCTGGTTGGGTGGAAGTCAGTTCTAAGGCAACAGGGCTACATGTACAGAGATGAATGGGAAAGATGGGCCAGGAAAGAGCAGCTGGTACCTGGGGACCCAGGTACTCTGCCAGAGGACAAGAATGGGCAGAATTCTGACTCTAGATAGGCTCAAGGACAATACCAGGGCCAAAGGCAAGCTTCTGGGGCTTGAATGCTGCCTGGCACTGTGGAGCCCTACTCTGGGTTATCTGGTATTCAGCAGCGGTGTACAGGTAATGGCTGCCACCACTAGAATTGGCCCATTATACACAGACCAGGAGGTCACAACTTCACTGCACCTCCCAGGAAACTTCTGCTGTAAGAATTTGACAATTTTTAGCCTTTCATTTACACTTCTCCAAGTTCATCCTAAATTCCTATGGGGAGGCATTTCCCAAGAACATCCAGGAGCACTGTCATCTTGAGTGATCAGAGTACGAATGCTACTAATAAGCTCTGTCTCAAGTTTTAATTTCAATGAAATAATATTTGCTGTAAAAGATGTACTGGATTACTAAACAAAGACAGTACAGTTTCTGTGATTTTGTTGTTCTTTGTTTCTGTGAGGCTGCTGAGGCATTTCAATTTATCTCAATGAAAAAGCGTTCAACATCAAAAGAGCCTGAGAAGACACTAGTGTGAAAGGTTGGGTCCCAGAGGGCGGTCAGCTACCGTGTTCACTTTCTGCTCAGTTTGCCCAATGTAGTCTTGGAATTACAGAGTTGATAACATTAAACATGACATTTGGAAAAAGGGACAAAAAAAAACATCCAGGAACAGTGACTTCAAAGACAAAATTCTGGAAGTAACTAGAATCAACCATGGCTTCTGCTTCTGTTTAGTTCTGCCTTCTGTTTTTGGGGGGTGGGGTCATTTTTAGGGTGGTAGGGGGGTCTTTTTGAGACAGGGTCTTACTGTAACCCTGGCAGGCCTAGAACTCATCATATAGATCATACTAGCCTCAATTTTTCCCATACTGGGATGGACACCTGAGTTTGAGTGGGTAGCTGACTAAAAGAAGCCATTTCCAGTTTAAATGTAAAACCTGAGTTACTGGGGCAATGGAAGCCATTTACTTTTTAAAGGTCTACTTTCCCCTACTTTTTTCTTACACAGGGCAAAGAAGAAAGTTTCTGGTAATAAATGTATAAGTATAAACATATTCCCATTTTATTATCAAAAAGGAAACAAGACCAGTAGAAATGGGACCAAATGGGGAGCGGGAGCCATGGTTTCAGGGTCATCTCCCACCAGTCCTGAAGCCCTTGAAGATATAATGTGGCCTGAGTTGTGGGCTTGCCCAGTGGTTCACCAGGGATGGCATAATCTACTCCCCTCTTCCAGACTGGTCCTTACTTTAAGCCTGCAGGAGTTGCCTCAATAAAAATACTGCAACAGAGACAGCAGAGGGGGCTGCTGGACTGCCCTAGCAGGAAATCTTCAGAATCCCAAGGCTCCCAGAAACCTGTAAGACCCTGGTCATCTTAGCGGAAGGGCTAGCCTTTCTGACAACAGACTGAGAGGCCACCTGGCCCTTGTTAGTGGTGGTAGGTAGCTAAGGGTAGCATTATAGACACTCAAATCCTTCAAATTCTAGAGTTTAAAGGAACACAAATTTACAGAATGGTTCTTAACATGGTAGGAAGCAAATTACCTCTAACAATCTGTCATACCTTCTAATTTGCAGGGAGTCCAGGGCTCCAGGTTCTGACCTACTCCAGTTGTTAACAAATCACAGCCTGAAGACCAAAGTTAGCCTTCTCCTTCCTGTTTTTTTTTAATATTTTATTATTTTTATTTAATGTGTATGAGTGTATTGCCTGCATGTATGTGAGTGTACCTGT